GTGTTGGACTATATGGACTGGAAACTCCCTGGAGTCTCTTTTGCATGGTTGCCTGACAACTGGTCCAGACCAAGAGGTTGTCCAACCTCCCTGTAAAACAGTGATTTGACATTTTACACCTCGGTTTTTGTACAGATTAAACAAAAAAGAAACAACGTGTTAATTAGAATAGAAGAATACAACCATATTGTCCACAAGTGTGGAAAATTGTGAGTCTGAACGGTGCTGGCAGATGCAGTTTGTAACCGCTGGATGGAGCCAGGCTAGCTGCTTCCCCGTTTCCCGTCTTTCTGCCCTAAGCTACGTTAGCTGTCAGCTGGTGATAACCATATTTTTATTTCATATTTACAATACAGACATGATAGCGGTATAAATCTTCAAATCTAGCTCTTGGCAAGAAAGTGAATAAATGTATGTCCCAAAATGTCAAACCTTTCCTTTAACATCATAAAATTTCTTGTGCGCTGTACATTTTACATGTGAAGATTTCTTGATTTGATAGCATATTTTTCTTGGGAAATCTGAACAAAACCATTGAGTGTTTTCTGACCTAATTGTGCTGTAAAGGTCAAGGGTTCCCCAGCCTCCCTGAATGGCTTTGTTTGGGCCTTCCACAGACCATGTGAACCTGGAGGATTTCCTGGTCCAGTGGCTTCAGTTATTATGCTGTTTCCTGATACTCGACTCACACACACACTCACCACACTTGTGGGTTATATCTGCTCCTCTTTTCCCATTAACATGTTCTCCATGTGTAACAGACTTCAAGATCAATTCAGTCAGTGAATGTGGTTCCGTGTTCATTTCTCAGCTTTTCACGTTTCAGGTGGTTTGGCAAGAACCTTAGGGCAACTCCCCTAATAAATCCCGCATACTCTTAATGATTCATAGTAAATCACACTGACAGATGCTGTAAAATCTTATCTGCTCATAATGCTGGCCTTTCAATGACATCCACATTTTGACCATTTTTTAATGTTTGTATAAGTTTATGATTTCCCCAAAACTGGAAGTCAGGGGCGCTGACTCGTAAAAAAACATAATTCTTGCTATGTGTAACTTTTTTATGATCACCCACTACCTCATGTAATGCTGACCTCTGGGTCAGTCTGACTTGCCCTGAGAACACTTGCTTATACGTGGGTATTATTTTATAGCCCCCCTTTGGGGTTGCAGTAACCTGATTTTGTATTCACTTGTCATTCCAACTTCCCACTCACTTTTTCACTCCAAGAAATTAAAAGAATGTTGTCTCAAGTATGACAAATTTGCTTTCAGTATTACGCTTCTCTCTGGTGAAATCATGGAACGTGTTCGCAGCAGGAGGGTACATTTGTCAAGAAATCTGGACAATTAGTGGCTGAGACTCTCCTATAAAATTACAGAAAACATATTCTTTATGATTCCTAAGTAGATGAGATGACCTCAGAGTGTTGACTTAGGCTCGGTTTTCAGGGTTGCTGTGGGTTTGACAGCCTCATCTGTGAAACTTGATCTGCACTCTTAAGAAAACATACCTAATGAATGTGTTCCCCAAGGTGCAAAAATGGGGCTCAATTGTTAAACCTCCAAGAATGTCATCCAACACCTGAAAGCTTAGTGAAGTTGGATGTCTGCTGCCATCTACAGGCCTTTTCACAGGAAACACGCTATTTGAATCTAGTTAGCTGATTCTCCAAAGCACATCAATTACCAGATTGCATCAAAAGAAGAGATATGTTATGACCAAAAGCCAGAGAGCGTGGCAGGCTGAGCAGATGTCCCCTCTCTCACAAAGACTTACATGCTGTGTCCTGCAACAGACCACTAATGTGGAGATAATATTAATATCTCTTATTGTGTCTATTAGAAGTACAGGGAATCTAAAGCTTTTAAATCATGAACATTATTGGCAGCTGTAACAATACAGTGACTAACTGGTTCAGCTCTATTTATGTATACGAACATTTATTATTATCTTATGTAACGTATTTAATCTCTCCAACAGTACTTGGCTTTGTTTCTCATCTTGGGTGTTCCAGTTTTAGCAGATGATATATATTTCTGCTTTTATAAACTGTTTCAGCTTCTAGCTGACTGGGAGTTCAAAACATGACAAACTGGGGATATTTATTATTAATCATGCTGGAGTGATGCTTTACAAATGTGGTCAAGCTCTTTATCAAAATTGTTTAAAGCTATATGTTTTAAGTGACTCCTCTTCACTTGTTTCAATTTGGGCTCATATTGGACCCCTTACATTTTTGTGTGAAAAAAGTGTTACACATTGTTAAAGGCAACACATGTGCAAAGTACTTAAAGTGCACAGTAAAAGTGACCAATGGGCAAAGTGATTTTGTGATACAATCAAATTAAATGTGGGCAGATTGCTTTGTCGAACATTATGTTTTAATTACTCCTCTAAAGGTCTGGTATGTTGCTGGCACATTCATGTTATGTGTTAAAAAGTAAATTACAGCTACTCTCTTCCCAACTTTCATTTTGTTCAGAGATGCAATTTGCATGTGGGCAACAATCCATAGCAGTAACTAAAATTTTCTAATACTAACTAATATGATATTGCATATTTAAGCACATATGTATATCAAACAATGCTAGCTCGTATTCAATCACTCTTCACCTGGGAACTGCTCACAAACTACTTTTATTGGCAGCCACAGAGCAGCTCCAGTAAGTCAACCAGGGGATTCTGTTGCACTGTTGAGATTTAAGATTCAAGGTGACTGAACTTTATGAGCCTCTAAATTGTGGAGCAACCCACTGAGGGAGGTAAGGCTATATGCTAGTAAAATTTCATCTTTTAAATCACACATATGAGATCATGATTCGTTCTTTAAAACGTGATTCTACCCACTTGTGTGTCCATTTGTACTTTTTTGTTGTTGCGTGTTGTTGATTTTTCATGTAGCATATGGGTGTTGGTTGTGGTGCTCGTACTGCTGTCACGTTGTAATATTCTGCATGTAAATATAAATATAATAATACAAACTTGAAATAAAGACGTTTGGTGTTTTTCTGACCATACCAACAGTAGTTTTCCACCCAGATCTTTTAACCTACAGCCAATCTCCCAGGCCCAATTGCATATCCATTGTTAATTAAGTGCTCTATAAAAAGTTGGGAATGTTGGAGCTTACTGGTTCTCAGTCAGAGCTACTTGGCAGTTAACAGCTTGTACTGATCATCATACATCTGTGTTGAATGCTGCAGTGTTTGTCTCCCTCTAACAGCGGCCAGTGGTAAAACCCTTCTGAATGTGTTCTCCCAGAGACACAGTTGCCTCCCTCTGTCTGATTTTTCACATAAAAATAACATTTTCTGAAAGCTGTTGAAGCATCATAAACTTATTTGCAGTCTTGCATTCTGTAAGTCACTTTACCTTTTCTCAAGCTGCTGCTTCATCAGTGTGCATCACATGCTCCTTAAACTATGCCATTAATAGGGGGCTGGTGATGGCACAATGGATGGTTCAATTTCCCACTATGACCCCTCTACAAATGTGTCCCTGAGCAAGACTCTTAATCCCTAGTTATACTGGCCTTAACCTCAATCATGAGAAAGCTCCCATAACTGTTGCCCTGCTTTTGAAAGACATTAAAGTGGGGCAAGATGACAGATGAATAAAAATAAATCATCTATTTGAGTGGGTGGCAGATGCTTCCTCTATGCTTGTATGGCCCGTCGCTGTGTCTAAAAGTATGTTGTGCAACTATACAGACCTGTTTCTTCTATAGAGTCTTTTTGGAAAAATTGAAGCACTTCCACGCTGCAAAATAAAACATATTTTTATGAGACAAAATGTTTGAAAACACATTTGTACATGGCATTACAATTAATTTACATATTAATATTTTGTACAATGAATATACCATAGGCTACACCTGACTTGCACCTACACCTACTGTAGGCTAAATCCAAAATATAGCCAGTAAATATCACTTTTCTTTTGTCAGGAACTAAACTAATTTGATTAAGTACTATCAGCTTTTATACATTTTAAAACAAATCTTAACTACATTTCATTCAGTAGGCTACATCACCATGAAAACACCCAAACATCCAACCAAGTGAGTGAACAAACAAACATAAAAATGAATTGTAAATGAATGAGAAATTTGGACAAATGTGGTGCAATGTCTAAGCACATACTTAATTTAGATCTATAAATTATTATGTAAGCCTTACAATATCTAATTTCACACAGTGTATGTTTTTAACCAGCCCTGGTCAAATACACGTCATTTAAAATACTTTTAGTAATGTCGCATGAATGCTAATTTTATAAATGTAATAATTTTTGCGTCAAAATTGGGTTAGTGCAATTGCAAACAGCATATTTGGGGGCTAACTGTGTACAGAGGGCGTGTCATTTTTACAAAAGGTAAAGTAGCTTTATGTCCACCACAAGCAGGGGAGAAGCAGCCAACACAATAGCCACACAGAAATACAAAAACAGTAAAAGTGGTAGTGGTGCAGACAGAATATGAATAATAGTACTTATAATGATAGCAATTTTAATAATGATGATAATAATATAACATTAGGCTGTAGGCTATTTGACTAAATAGGCGTCAATGCCTCATCAGGGAGAGATTTAGGCCTAGACATTAAGCTACCTGTAAATTAGGCACATACCCCTTGGCCTATTTCATTTATGTGGCTATTGTTTACTTAGGTTACATTCTGATTAATACATTTAAAAGGTTAGCCTACATGATAAAATATAAGTCTAATATAAGTTGGCTATGGACTATTTATCTAATAAAGATTTCATATTAGTGGCTAACTAATAAAGTCCTATTTGTTTTTCATGTGGTCAAGGTTTTTATTTGTAAGAGCAGGAAAACAATGTTTTAAGTTGACTCTAATCAAAGTCAACTTGTTCTGCGCTGTCACCAGTTGCTCGCACAGGTGTTACTGAAGCCTCTTCATGTGACCGCTGGTATGAAGCTCCCACTATTGTTTGTTTAAGGACTACACAAAGAGTATTTCCACTTTCCAGCATCATGTTCTGGGCTACATACAAGCAGCACCTCTGTCAGCAGGGCAGGTGATTTGCGCGTTCACACTTCCAGCGTTTTCATGGCTTGTTCTGCGCTTCTGTGGCGGGTTTGTCAGCCGTGATCATGGTTTATTGTGGAGCGTTCAGGAATATAACGCGTGGACTTTGTTGTTGATCGACAAGCGTAGGAGAGTAGTATCTGTGTTGTCTAACTTCTCACAGTGGAAGTTGGAAAGCCGAAGTGACTTTGCGTACTTGGCTCATCCAAAGCCACCGATCGGATTACTTGGGAGCTGTGTGATTACTGCGCGGTGGTATGGCAGAGGAAATCCTCAACGATTCCTTCCCAGATCTGAAAGAACTGGAAAATAAGGTTGGCAGGAAAACTCCGGAAAGTCTTCTGATTTGGATGAGGGATGCTGCAGACTGTGAAGATGGTTGGAGGTCTGATGCGGTCGACAGGGGAGACCGCGGCTCTGCCTCCAGCGAAAGCTTTTCTGACAAAATTAGCAACTTAAAACAAGAGATGGTAAAGATCCCTATTTTCTCAGCAATGAATACTGTGTGCCTATGCATGTCTCTAAATGGACAAAACAGTTCCCTTCTGTCTTGACACTGTGTGTGTGTGTGTGTGTGTGTGTGTGTGTGTGTGCGCCTGCTTGTCTGTCCATCTTTTCATATTTGAGGAGTTCCACAACTTGCACAACTTGTTTTAAGCGATCACTGCTCTGCTCTCTTGGTCTGATGACATGTTTTTCTCTGGACTTTAAAAATGTCACTCTGAGCCACTTCACCTGCTCATTTTAATGCCTAATGACAGACACTGTCACCCATCTTTCCACCACACCCCTCACCTGGCTTCTCTCTCATACACCTCCATTCGTTTGACACATTCTCTGCCTCTTCAGTTCTTTGTGTTTTATTGCTATTTTCTTCTGCTTTATGTAAATGGGGGCGGGGCTCACTAGTGTGTGTGTGTGTGTGTGTGTGTGTGTGTGTGTGTGTGTGTGTGTGTGTGTTTGTGTACCTTCCCTTATTTACACCTGTATCACGCTTAGCCTGACACTCCACTATTCATGCAGAGGTGGCTGCGTTCTGCAGATGTGAGGATTCTGCGACAGCTGGTGGCCGTGCACGAGGGTATAGAGGCCATGCGTTGGCTGATGGAGGAGCAGGGTGCCTTAGCCAGCCGTGGCAGCAGCTTGACAGGCAGCCTGAGCAGCCTGGTGACTGTGGAGGAGCATGGGCCCTCAATGTCCCCCTGCAGGTACAGAACAGAGTTTAGTTGGGCAGGTGCACAGGAATCTGTTCTCAATGAAATGTGCATGTATTTTCATACAAACTAATATCACATTATATGTATAAAAAAATGCATTTAACAAAGTAATAACACAATCAAATCTTTCCATGACCTTAGCCAAAATATTGGTTTAGTAGAGTTGAGTCTTCATTAACACCAGGGACACTTGCATTGCAGAAAGTATGCAATACGACAATATATGTTCAGATAAAAGAACCGTAAACATAACATTTATTTTCAACTTAACTGAAACAGCTTTATCTCACATAATTGACATAATTTAGTGTTTTTCAAGGAGTACATGACTTGAATTTTCAGGATGTGAAAAATAGAATAGGATCAGATCAGCAGTCAGGTAAAAACTCTTGACCTGAGAATTTCCAAACATCTTTGCAAATCAAAGCAAATGTTTTGCCACTTCTTTCCTTGGAGTGTAGCTGTTTTCATTCAACACACAAAAATGTTTCCCAAATAGTATTAGTACATTTACTTCACTAGTGCTCTGTGTGTGTTAACCAGGGATGCAGATTAAAGCAAAAACCCTGAGACACTTTTAACAGCTGAATCATGCTCAATGTAGATCTAGAAGCATTTTCAGTTTTACCGCTGAGGAATTCATATGTGAGTCAATATTTCTGCTGTTGCTCCCACAGAGGAAGCCTGAGTCCAACTCAGGATTTGACTGAAACCACTAGTGAGGATTCAGAAGATCACCCACCACACACTCACCATGGTGAGATGCTGAGCCCCAGACCTTCTGAAGCAAGACCTCCTAACCCTTCCACCTCCAAGTTTGAGGTTGGTTGTTCCACACATGGCAGTCATGGTCAGGCATCATCTAGTCCTGCCAACGGTTTGGCAAGTACCAAAACACCAAAGTTACAACCACAAAAAATGAATGCAGCTCCATTACAAGACATCAAAGCTGGTGCTGCCACCATCAGAAGAGCTCTGCTCAGATCAAACAGAACAAGAAGAGAAGTGGATACTGGTAGTTTTCCCCTCAATAAACAGTCAGGGGAGATAGAGACAGAGCACAAAACTCAGGAGAGTTTCCGAGCCTCTCAGAACAATACAATGGAAGAGGAAGAGAGGGAGCCCAATAGAGAGACGAGTTTGCTGGGTTATGATGCTCAGTGGTGCTGGGTGGAGTCACAGGATGATGTGACATTTTTATGATCTTCTACAAGCACAATTTAAATGTATGATCTTTGATTTGAAGCTACTTTTCCCAACAGTTAACTGCCAGTAAGCCAGGGGTTTAAAATGCACTTTGACACTGATGAATGAATGATGAATGATGCTTGAGAATGATTGTGTCACAGCCTCTGTGTCACTACTCACTCTGTCTGTGTTTTTGGGAAGGATGTTTGCTTTTTTCATTAGACTTAAAACACTTTTAGTAAAAAAAAAAAAAAATCACAAACATGAAGGAGCTTTTTTTCAAGGTGTTGTGTCATTCTCTAATTAGTTTTTTTCACACCGGGGACTTGAATTTTAGATATTGTTGATCATCAACTTCAGGTTTTAACTAAGTCTGATGTCAATGTCTTATCTTATTTATGAGACAAGAATAGTAGTAATTTTTGTGCTTATTTCTCATTCATTGTCCAGTCTCTTTGAGTTTTTTCATAATTGTGGATAAAACGCAACAATAAACCTGTGAGGATTTTAAAGATGATGCCATTGCTCCGCTTAAATTGTTGCGGAATGAGTCTGATGCATCTGTTGGTAATAAACCAGACAAAAAGTTGCCTATTTATTGGAGGTCTTTCTTGTCTCTCAACCCAAACAGCAGAGAAGTGAATGTGCTGATTTATTTCTCAAGCTTGTACTTTTAAGTGTTAACATTGTAATTAACACATGTGCTGTTGTTCATGGACTAATATATATAAATTTTAATAATGCACTTTATATTGAAACAAATCCTAAAGTAGTACATGATAAAACACATAGAGAGCACGAAAATAACAATAACAATAAGGCAAAGAATATATTCTACCTAATTCATATTTGTATATTGTGTTTGGCTTTATTTTATTTCTATGTGTGCATCTTTTGTGTATTTGTGGTGTTTATTTTGATCCTTGTCAAAATGTATGTTTTAGTCCAGTTTCCCACTTGGGATAATAATAGGTGAACTGAACATAACTGAACTCAACAAAAAGTTGTTGTTAATGTCACATGAATGATATTCTATGCTATGATTTGAAGAAATGCCAATTCGTTACTAACAAGTCGTTCATGTGTATGATGTTCATCTTTCCGACAGACAGCAAAGGCAACACTTCTGTGACGTTGTCGTGTATTGAACCATGGAAATCAGGAAGTGTGCAGGTGGGATGGTTTACCCGCATAGATTAGGTTTGTGTGACATTACAGGCGGATTAATGACGATGTAATGATTCAGACACTCGTAAAGAAAACATGACATTTTGTTTTCTGCGTGTTCTCCTTTTCATCGCCCTGACGGGTTGCACATTGGGAGACGGTAAGTGTTCTCAGCGGAGGAAACTAGTGTTAGCATGTTTGCTAACTCTCTCGACTTGCTCGTTCACCAACTTTACCTAAATGCCAGAGTGCGTCCAGTAAAAAACATAAAGTTGCTTATGCTCACATGCACGTTGTTAAAGAGGTACAACATGTATCATTACCGTATACCTTATCTCATTCAATCATGCTGCTAATTTATTATTTAACTTAACTTCAAGGGGCTGTTTGTAACGTTACATGCCGTTTAACAAAGTTTAGCTTTCAGCCCTAAATTAGTTTGACAGCATTTCTCTGATGTTCTACATTACATTTACTCATTTAGCTGGCGCTTATATCCAAATCGACTTACAACTGCTATATACACTCACCCGGCCACTTTATTAGGTACACATGTCCAATTGCTTGTTAAAACATATAGTTAATCAGCCAATCACATGGTAGCAACTCGATGCATTTAGGCATGTGGACGTTAAGACAACTTGCTGAAGTTCAAACCGAGCATCAAAATGGGGAAGAAAGGGGATTTAAGAGACTGAACGTGATCGTTGGTGCCAGACAGGCTGGTCTGAGTATTTCAGAAACTGCTGATCGTCTGGGATTTTCATGCAAAACCATCTCTAGAGTTTACTGAGAATGGTCCGAAAAAGAGAAAATATCCAGTGAGTCCAGTTGTGTGGACAAAAATGCCTTGTTGATGTCCGAGGAGAATAGATAGACTGGTACGAGATGTTCACTGTACTTCAACGGCCTCCACAGTCTCCAGATTTCAGTTCAGTAGAGCACCTTTGGGATGTGGTCGAACGGGAGATTTGCATGATGGATGTGCAGCCGAGAAAATCTGCAGCAACCGCGTGATGCTATCATGTCAGTATGGACCAAAGTCTCTGAGACTTCCAACACCTTGTTGAAAATATGGCACAAAGAATTAAGACATTTCTGAAGGCAAAAGGGGTCCAACCTGGTACTAGCGCGGTGTACCTAAATAAAGTGGCCAGTAAGTGTATGTCAGAGGATGCATGCCTCTGGAGCAACTAGGGCTCAAGTGTCTTGCTCAGGGACAGATTGGTGGATGTGTCACTGTGGGAATTGAACCTGGTTCTCCACTACCAGGTAGGCACATTATCTTCTCCACTGTTCCCTCTTACAGAGTCTAACTTTGTTAGTTGCACTGTATGTAGTTGCATCAGGTGTTATTTGGATGTATTTATTAGTTTTTAATTGTTCCATTGTAATGTTGCAGTTCTAGCATAATGTGTCCAAGGAAGGTTAAAATCAAGGTACCATCAAACAAGTCCTTGGATAACTATGACCTGGATGCCGGAGAACCTTCACAGACATCTAGTATAATGTGGCGAAACTGCTTCCCCTTTTTTCCTTCATTTTCTCCTTCACTTTTATCACCTCTCAAAAATACAATATGGAAATTACATTTTAAAAAGTAAAGGAAAAATCTGAACGATTTCTACATTAACATCTAGAGACACAGACACAATAATCATATGGCGTGTAATTTAAACTTGTTTACTTCCAGGTTAACCCTGGATGCATAATCTATTGACATGGGTCTTTTTCTTTTCTGCAACCTGTGTCTACTATACTGTGCATTTTCATACAATGAAGTCTTGTGCCCTACAGATGGACAAGTGACGTTTGTATCAGAGCTCTCGTCCAAACCAGCCCAGAAGTTGTCAAAGTATGGTTGGTATGGAAATGTGAGGCTGCAAAGGTTTCATATACCAGAGGAGACTGCCATCGCTCGCTGGCTGTTCTCTGTCACCAAGGGCCACACCTTCCACTGTGGACAACACAACGTCAGCATGTAAGCTACACTAAGTCCTGCATCATGAAAACAGCTACTTGTTTTCACTGCTATTTATTTAAAATTTCTCTCTCTCTCTCTCTTTTGTAGCCATATTCAATGGGGTGCCCCTCCAGTTATTAACCCAATAGGATCAGTGTTCCCTAATGCAACACTATGGAGCCCCTGTCTGTCTCTGATCCTACCAGTGACGTCACACAGCTCTACAACAATTAACATCTCTAATCCTGCTCCAGGTGATTGGTACGTCGCTGCCCACTTGCCTGAAGATGACGGGCGCATAGAGCAGAAGGTTTGTATAGCGCTGTACACAGTGCATGCTTGTTGTTGTGTCCTGTGGCCTATACTACCGAACCTACTCAGATTTAACTCGGGGAGTTATCAAGCAAACTCAGGGTTGACAAACTCTAACCGCCTACACTGGTGGTAAACGGTACTACGATGTTGAATAGGATGTTGGTTAGTTGGGTCAGCTTAGTTTTCATAATGACCATTTTGAAAGAAGATTTGACACAATTTTTTTGGCCTGAATATGTCAAAACTTATTTTAACTTTTGATGTTTGTGTCTGTCATATTTGTCTGAATAAGAATGTTGTTTTGCATTGATGAGTCCTCCAGCTGCTCTACTTTTTAATTTTCCCTGTTACTTAACCTGTTCCACCGGAGCAGGAGGTAGATGCTTTGTTTGTTACGTTAAGTAGCCAAACCACATTCTTCTGCTTTGTTTTTTTCTTGGTCCCTGTTCATATTACAGTATTGTTCTTGATAGAAGGGGCACTCTTATTTACCAAGGGCTGGCCTTGAAAGAACATTTCTGTTCACAATTATCTCTTTACCGGTATTTGACATTTTTTGTGTAGAATAGTCCCCCATGGTTTGACTGTTGATCTTACTATTGACTTCTCTTATTTGTGTGTCAGTCCTCTGTAAAACTGTGTGTGTCTGTCTAATATATATTTTTTTGTGTTTATCTGTTAGGGCTTTCCGTCCTGCTCCTACTTCTTCCAGCCTCAGCTATCAATCAGGAGAGCAGTGGACACGCCCATTTTACAGCAGGGTGCATTCCTCCAACAGACTGCAGCACCTGACAGACCTGCACGCCTTAAGTAAGAAGTGCCTGTGTCTACAATTGTATGCATTTCCTGTGGTCCCGTTCTGTTTTATATTTTTCCTATGAGTCTATGTCAGTACAGTTAATGTATTTGTGTCTGTCTTAGATTGTATGTTCCAGAGTTTGCCTCTTCTCTCTTTGTCTCTGTGGCTGACTGTTCGTCAGGGGAGGGAGAAGACAATGGAAACTGTTCACTGGTTCTCAGGCTTGGCTCCGCCTCTCTGCAGCATGGCCCGGTAACGGTGAACTGCTCAGGGATTGGCTGCTCTGCAGCTCTTTCTAACCCTCCTTGGGCTACCTGGTTACGAGTTGTCGTGGAGAGCAGCCAAGACAACCGCACTGTGACCTTTAGTATCGTCTCAAACTACACAGGTGAACACAAACACGTGGCCACATCCTTAAACATACGTTTAACACATTATATCTCTGTTCTAATCCACTACCTGTGTGTATTTTCTCTATTCTGTATTTGTGTGTCTGCCTCAGTGATATGTAAACCAAAGAGTGTAGGCCTTAAAGCAGATGATGACATCAACAGGCTCCGTGGCAACAGCAGCTATAGCAACTTAACATCAGCAGGAAACAACTCTGTGGTTACAGACGAGGTCGCGTTAAGCGACGAATCAGCATCACTGTTAACTCCGCTATCAGCGTCGGCGTGTGTGTGGAGCATCCCTGTGCTCTACGACGAGGTGGATGTTCTGTCGCTCAGATTCACTCCTGCCAACGGACCCAACGTCAGCGTTACGGATACACACCCCACACTGCTCACCTACCCCCTGCAAATACAAGCCACTGGTGGTACACTCAACCTAGAGCTCACACTCAACACTGTGAGTACTACAGAATTACTACACATACATGTGCGATTTGATTCAGAGTTAAGCTTTCATGGTTTTTTCAACGTGTGTGTGTGTGTGTGTGTGTGTGTAGACTAATGTAACCCTGGGGAACAGCAGCAGTGTGGTGGCCTGTCTCTCTCCCTGGGCTCCAGTCTTCAAACTCAACAACTCTCAACCCTGTCACACAGGTAGAACAGATAACTGCTGTAGGTTAACTAATCAGGAAATCAGCTGATTAAACTGGAAAGGTTAGGTTTTTACTACAAATGGAATGACTGTGATGGGATAGGTTCCAACTTCATTATGACTTGGAAATAGTCATAAGGATATTCTAAGCAGCGATGAGGAAATAGGTGTTATTTTGGAGTAGTGTGTGCTAAAACCAATTCCTAGCAACACATAATTAAGCAGGAAGCTTGACTTTGCATTATGAGAATAAAATTTGGAGACAATTCTCGTGTGTGTGTGTTTATCTGCAGGCTTGTTTGGAGGATTTGGTGTTCGTGTAAATGCCAGTGTTCCTAAAGCTGTCGTCAGGCTGCCTTTCCCTCAGGCAACAACATGGTACCTCACCCTGCAGCTCACATGCAACAGGTAACACACTCACATGCATATTACATGTTTATGACCATACTCTCAACAGGCAATAGATGTTTTTGAAATTCACACACACACTTAAACAGTCTGCACATTGAGGATGCAATGCCTCTGTATACTTGTTCATCGGGGGGGTGGGGAAAGGGGGAAAAAAAATTTTTTTTGCACATACACAAATGTATTGTAACTGTTAAATCTACTTATACATGAATACTTTTTTACAGTGTGACATTAGACACACACACTATATAAAATGTTTTATGTAACACTACAGTTTTTTATACATTTGTTCTTATTTTGAAATCTATACTTACAGCACAAATCCATATTTTTTTGTGCGTATGAATGTGGCTGTTGAACGACTTACTGAATAACAGGGAAATGCCCATTTGCAGTCCACACGTAGAGGTCTCAGAAGGTTGAGCCACTGAGTTCCAGTTTTTAAGTGTGTGTGTTTCTTGCAGCTCTGACTGTGGTAATATGTCAGTGGTGTCTGTGGTCCCAGAGGTGTTCATCACTGCCTGTGTAGAGGACTGTGGGACATATGGTGAATGTAGACTTTTGAGATCCTACAGCTACCTTTACGCTGCCTGTGTCTGCAAGGCTGGTATGACACACACACACACACACACACACACCTATGTATCTATCTATCTTCACTAAACTCAACATTTAGCATCAATGTTCCCTGTAGCCCAGTCACCTCACTGCAATCTACCTTTTTAAATACATCACTGTAACTTTTTTTTTCTTTTTTTGATGTATAAATTAAATAATTAGGCTTTTTGCCTCTGTGTGTGTATGCAGGCTGGAGCGGTTGGGGCTGCACTGATGGTTCCACAGCTCAGTCGTACAGTCACCAGTTGACGGCGACTCTGCTGCTCACGCTCAGTAACCTGTTCTTCCTGCCTGCCATCGTGGTGGCCGTCAAACACAGCTACATCACTGAGGCCTCCGTCTACCTCTTCACAATGTTCTTCTCCACGGTAGAAACACACATACACTGTTTCATACATGTGGAAATACTTATTGCAGTTTTTATTGCTCATATTCTTTTGGGTTGCAGTATGAAGTTTCAATAAATCAAAGCGAGCATCTCTTCTAGTACAATTCCAGGCGACCTCAAGACAAACTGACCATCATCACAAGACTGTGAAGACTGCCAGCCACAGTTTTATCACAGAATGTACCTTTTTACAATTAAGTTTATGACCTAATTCTATGTAACACAATAGAATATTGGTATGGTATAGGGATGGAAAAATCAAGACTGCAGCCATGTACATCCTTCAGCCATGCATCAGCTAATAATAATAAACTAAAAGTACTACTAAACAATAATGTGCCTATCGATTTATGTTTTTGAAAGATGGATGCAGTTTACTGTCTCACTTCATCTATTTCAGGACACTACATACAAAACATTTTATATGTAACTATGGTTTCTTTTTTTTCTTTTTTCATATTCTAGTTCTACCATGCGTGTGACCAGCCAGGTGTAGCCGTAATGTGCATAATGGACTACGATGCGCTACAATACTGTGACTTCCTGGGGTCAGTCTGTTCCATCTGGGTCACCATCCTGTGCATGGCTCGAATCAAAGACACATTCAAATATGTAAGAAGACAATGACTCGCGCCTATTTTATTTATTTTATCTGCAATACTATTATCACAATTTATAGAGGACAGTTTGTGCTAAAATGTGTTTATTATTGTCTTTTTCTTAATGCTTTGTGTGTGCAGGCTCTGTTTATGCTTGGGGCTCTGCTGATAGCCATGTCAGTGCAGCTGGACCGCAAAGGTCTGTGGAACATGCTGGGCCCCATCCTCTGTGCCATTCTGTTCATGGTCATTTCCTGGGTAAGATATACACCATCATACTACAGGAAGTATCTAAAACACTATCTGATGGGAATCTGCTGTTGCTCAATGCACATCTCTTTTGTTTACAGGTGTACCGAGGGGTGCGGCGACGACACTGTTACCCGCCGTCTTGGAAACGATGGGTCCTCTACCTGATACCCGGGGCGGTCTGTGCTCTGATCGGGGTATGTTTGTACATTTTTGCCGAGACAGAGGACAACTACTACTACACACACTCGCTGTGGCACATCCTGGTGGCCAGCTGCGTTGTCTTCCTGCTGCCGCCGAAGGAGAAGGACAGGGAGGCGTTGGGCTGGAGCAGGGGCTGGAGCTGGAGCTGGAGACCCCGGGTTTGTGGATACACGCTCTGTCAGAGCAGCAAGGATGAACTCTACACTGTCACATAGTAGGACAAGTGATGCTGTAAGGAAGTGACAAAGTGACTACGCATTGATTGTATCTCAGCACTCAAGCACGTGTGTCTGCTCATGTTGACAAAATCTTACAATATGTTTGTTCATACTCAAACTCAAAGTTTGTTAATATCTTGAATAGAGCCTTTTAAAATCAAATCTAGACCGATATTCTCATAAGTCTACCAGTTCCATGTTCACATTTACATGGTTTGAAACTGGGTTTTTTTGTTTGTTTTTTATTGAAATAAAAATATCTCTGAAAGTCATAAATAAAAATATTTGCTTACAGACATCCTGAAACACACAAACACTCCGTTTAACCCAAATCCAACCTGCTGAAACCTCCAAGGTCATTTGCACCAGCTTATGGGTGAGCATCAAAGCCTTCAGCTAGCACACCACCTGACTTTGGACCTCAGGACCAGGAGTTTGTACATATTTGTGTATGTACTTGTTCTACTAGGCTAGGAAATTCATGTTTGAAATATTTAAAAGTATTAGCACTTTGTGAAACTCTTTAATCTTTATATTCAGCCTATCTTGGAGTCTGCTGATAAATTATACTATATTTATAGTTGATGTAAAAAATCATCATTCTTGTATCATCCTCTATTTTCATTTATCCCACTGGCCTGGGCAAATATTTATTTTTAAATCCATTTCAGAACTCAAGGTCCACTTTCTAGCTTTTTTTAAAAAATCTTTCAACCATATAACATGGCCTTCATCATCTGATGAAATCAGCTTTTTGACTTAAGAATGAATCATTGCAGAATTAAAAGTAGTTAAAAGCTTCAACTAGAAATTATTTAAAACCATTAAATTACTTTTTCTGCTTACCACATGTATCATGCCTTCCCATGATGTCAAGTTAAGCTGTAATTCATGGGCTTTTAGACAAGTGAGCATGTGAAATGTAGACAGATGACAGCGTAGTTTTGGGATACAGGGTGCCACCTTATTCCATTTAAAAATAAATAAATAAATCCACATTTTTAAATACAATACTAAATACTATATAGCAGGATGTTAGGCTCATGTACAGAATGTAGTGAAAGTGAATGACTCTGTCTTTTCTTTTCTTCTCATCTCCTCTGTTTATCTTCACTAAATCCTTACCAGTCCTTACTTTTTACTGGCATTTATTCCACTGCACTTTTATGATTACATAGTGGAATCTGTTTTTAATGTGTATATAGCCCAAATGTGTGTGAATGGGCTCTTTATGAATGTATATTGAGATTACTGTGTCCAGTGCCGCCTCTTGCCTGTATGTTTCTGTGAATGAGTGTACCGCATGAGTGTGTGTTTTGTCTTTTGCACCACTGAAACACTTTCCGTACTAAAGTGCGTCACCTGTCTTAAGTGTCCCATTCTGTGATGATTGTCGCATTGCACAGGTTGAAATTGCAGTCTTCCTTTCATTGTTGAAATTGTTTTTTTGCTTGTGTGTGAGAGTGTGAATCACTTTGTTTTGTTTTCACTTTTAACTAGGAGTATGAAAGGGCGTTCTTCCACTACAACATACTTTAGCTCACACTGCATGTAATGTTCCATGTAAAACTAAACATTTTACTTCCATTACTGAATGGCTGCTGTTCAGTCTGTTAAAAATCCAAACAGGATTTGCCTACCAAAAATAAATCTGTGGTATAAAGAGTTTCAGGAATGTTTTTGCTTATTGCTTTTTATGTGGATAGTCTCATACAGTTTTATTTTCCTCAGGCACTCACACACACTCGCACATGAAGAGAGGATGGGGAATGGAGGGAAGCGGATTATTATAATCCTCAGAAATCTAGAAAGTGCTTCTTTGGCATATTGAAATACACATTTCACTGTGCGCGTGTGTCAGTGTAGTGTGCCTACATATAGCTTACCTCCATTAGTAAATGGGATGGGCTCTCAGGTCCTGCAAAGCTGACACAGATCAGTGCTACAGATCACAACATGAAGCCTAACTGCTCATTGTTTTTCTGAGAGCAGCAAAGACATATTTGCACTACTGTCTGCATATAAGTGTGTACTAAAATCTAATTTAAAAACTTTTAATTGTGCACCTTAAATGGAACCTGGCTTAGTAGTAGTGGTGATATGTTATCATACGGCCTGTATAGATGATAAATAGGGGGTTAAAAAAAAGATTTCTTGTCCACCAAATTATTTCTTTTTCTTTTAAATATTCTCTCTTTTGAAATACTGGCTACCTTCAGCCATCTCCCTTAAATAAAATGGTCTGAGAAGAAAAAAATACACTCTAGTTACACTGCTTGCAACTCATGTTCACACTTAAACCTTAAACTGTAATGAGGGGTAGACATTTGGTCATTTTCAGTGGTCACAAGCCGATAAGATTGGGAACCATCCATCGTCTACCGCTTATCCTGTGTACAGGGTTGCGGGGGGGCTGAAGCCAATCCCAGCTGGCATCGGGCGAAAGGCGGGGTACACCCTGGACAGGTCGCCAGTCCATTGCAGGGCCACACCTAGACAGCCACTCACGCTCACACCTAAGGACAATTTAGGGTAACCAATCAACCTAGTCCGCATGTCTTTGGACGGTGGGAGGAAGCCGGAGCACCCGGAGAGAACCCACGCACAGGGAGAACATGCAAACGCCACACAGAAAGTCCGGGGCAACCGGGGTTTGAACCCACAACCTTCTTGCTGTGAGGCTAACCACTGTACCACCGTGAGATTGGGAACCACTAATTTACATTGAGCATGAACACTGTACTGGTGATGAACACACACAGCCAGTAGAGGGAGCCAGTCCCGTAGAAGAAACTGCAGCTCCCACGGGGTTAATGGAGGGAAGAAGAGGGAGAAATAAAACCTGAAAGGTTATTAGATGGAAAAGAAACATGTAAAAAGAAGTTTGTACGTTCCAACACAGTAGCAGTAGAGAAAGTGAACAACATACAGACAGATGGTACTGTAAGAAACGGATCTGAGCCAATGTTTTCTTCAAATAGCGGCTGGTTTTTAAGCTTCTACAAGTAGGTGTAACATGGGCTGAGTTACTGACATTCTATAATTCAATATTACAACTTTCTGTGATGACAAATATTTCAGTGTCTACATCTGTATTTGATCTGGTGATTGCCTAAATTATATAGTAGTTCCTGTGTTCATGCGCCTTCACATCTGGAGATTAATAAATGCTAAAACAAACTACATAAAGGCTTTGTGCTTGAAATAGTTGAGAGAGGACAAGAGGAAGTCGGTTTAAAAATAACAGCCTGATCACAGGTCCCACACACACTCACAGTTTACCACGGCATGCAGAGCTGAGAACACAATACAACACTGGATGCCGTAATGTAGTGACATTTTATTGGGATGAAAACATGCTCGAGCAAAATTAACAGCGACAGCCATCACAATGTGAAGCTTCGGCATGGAATGAACAAAACAAGCAAACTGTACGATAATCACAGACATGCTGAGGCAAATTTTTGACTACATACATATTTCACATCTCTATTGCTCTATAAATATCCCAAACCTGCTTGAGAGACAGAGTAGATTCTATATAAAAACTATTGTTGGACAAAGGAAGACTTGGTATTAGGAGTCAATATCAAGAACAACAGAGTTTTTGGACTGAGATGGGATGTAGATGTAGGATGACTATGCAGTAAAGGCTGTAACAGTAGCTCTAAATTCTCTTTTCTCTGCTGTTCACAGCTTGTGCGCTAGGTATAAGATGTGATGCTGATGAGGTATGCATTAACAACTGTGCTCTGAGAAGAATTTCTAATGTGGAAATCCTAGCTCTGATAATGTTGCAGCGGTGAAAGAAAAGCTCTGGCTTTCACACAGTTTGACTTGAAAGAAAAGGTGGAGGAGGACTCCTTGGGATTTTGCTATGTTGCCCAACGGAGACAATGGAGACTGATGTGATTGAGTCTGACACCTTTTTTGTGCCCAGCATCAGACATTGGAACCAGCTGCAGAGTTAGTACCTGCTTGCCCGGCCCCCTTAGCCTGCCCGTCTTCCTCCGCCGCCTGGGTGACAGTCTGAGCGGGGGATGGGCTAGAGTGACGCTGGCGTCTCATGAAGGGGAACACGCTGAGTGAAAGGAGAGAAAGAAAGGTGAAATGTAATATTAGAGAATTACTTTATTAGTAATTAGTATTAAGTATTAAGTAAAAGGAAAGTAAGAGTGCTAATTAATGTGAAATGTTACCTTTTCTTTGTCTCCTGGGGGACCACAGCTTTGGCCAGCAGGTTCTTGTATAGGTCAGACTTAAGATATCTTGGATAAGAGTCCTATACGCACAAACAAGCACACACACACACACACAAATACAATGGCATCACACAAGATTACCACCTAAGTTCTAATAACAGCTGACCTCAACAGTTGATGCGTCGGCTTTTAGTTTATATATTAAAAAAAGGCAATTCCAAATCTACCTAGCAACTTTACAGAAAATGTGTGTTTTGACTAAACAAAAGTTCTTGGTTTCTGAATGGATGACATTTTGTCTAGGAAAGATGACATCATATGTGGCATCCCTCAGGGGTCAATACTGGATCCACTGCAGTTAAGTTTGTACATGTTTGCTCTTTGCATCAAAATCTGGAAACACAATGCAAGTTATCATAATTGTGCTGATGACACACAGTTATACCTGTCCTTGTCCCCTGGAGATCTAAACCTTGGTAAATCACAGGGTGAATTAATCATAAACAATTAGATATCCTGCAACATCCTGCAGCTCAACAAAGACATTGGATCTAAAACCCAGCTCTGAGTATCATACCAGTCATTGGGTTCGTTTTCCTTAAGTCTTTCTTTCCATAGCCACATCACCAACAACACCAAAAACACTTTTGTATTATCTTAAAATACGAGGCTTCTCTTCTCAGGCTGATGCAGACATGCATTCATCTCTTATTAGTTGGACTATTGTGATGTGTTCCTAAATGCCGAAAAAGACTCAAAAAACAAATGCTACAGCCATAGTTCTAACAAGAAAGAACAAAAGTGATCACATCACACCTGTCTGCTTTGGCTTCCAGTAATACCATTTTATTAATATACAGTATATTTATGAGCATATTGTGAGCGCACTGTATCTCCCCTGAATGACATGTGCTATGCAAATAAGGTTTTACTTACTTGTGAGTTCTACAGTGACTGCTACAACATTAAAACTGGAAAGACCATCCCAGTGTGTTTGCAGGACTTAGCTCCTTAACTACATTTGGTTTACATTTTGCCTGACCATTTTTGAATGCAGGCTAAACTGTTTCAGATCTTTTTTTGTTATGTATGCGTTTTCCCCAACTCTATCAGGTAGCCAATAATGTGAAAATCATTTAGCAGACTACTTCTTATCACATTGAACATCAAGAATGCATGGTAATGTAAATACCTTTAATCAACCACTTGATAGTGCCTGCAAATGATTATACAATTCATTTCAAGTAATTATCAAAAGTTCTGTTAAAGGATTTTCATATTCTATGGAAATAACCATTGGATGCCTAGAAGAGTAGAAGTGCATTCAATCTTTCATGGTTTGGGAAATGATTAACCGTAATGTAAAGTATAATTGATTTGTGGCAAACAGGATAAAACATGCTAAACCATTGGTGTGTTTCTTTAAGACAAGCCAAGACAAGTGTCCTATCTTTCAGAATCTATATCCAAAGGGTAAAGTTTCAAGTATAAAACTACAACAGGTCAGATGTCAGACCTTCTTCATGAGAAAGTAGATGTGCATTTGTGCGTCGTCCATGACAAAACGATGCGGGTGTCTGATCCCCTCTAGAGTTTTATCCATCGTCTTACTGTCGATGTTGACCCAACGGGCAGCTCCAGGAGCCAGGAAATTTCTGAGTCACACACAAAAGAGTAGCTGTCATCTGATGACATATAAGTTTGTATTTCTGTTTGTGTGCTTGTAAACTTACTTGTAGATCTCTTCCACTTTCTCTATGATCCTAGAACTCTCTCCATGTCTAACATCCTCACAGGCCTGCCAGAAACACAGGTTCTCCGCTAGCAAAGAGACAGACAATGAGGCATGAGGGTATGCATGGAAGTGAAGAAAACAACGCGAGGAAAAAGTGATGGCTGGCCTCTGCGGAAAACCTTGGCCCCTGGCAATTTCATACGTCTGCATGGATGAACAAATCTCTTTCCGTCCTTATACCTATGTTTTTCCTTATCTACTCCTTCCATCTCTCACCACTGGGATTGGAAAATGTCATAAGGGAAGAAAATTCTAAACGCTAACAAGAGTAAGAATCAATTTAAGGTTAATATGAGTAACAATTACATTTATTTTTTAAATAATTTTTTTCTCTTTATTATTGTAATAAGCTTCTGCATATGAATAATTCTCCAGATAACCATCAGGATTCAGGATGAGCACATTGTATTTTTAGTAGGATCCAACATTTCACTCCTCATTACCACTAAACTCTTTTTCCAGGTAGGTCATGAACTCCCGCCTCCCCATGCTGTCATTAAGAAGCTCCATGAAGCTGAAGCTCCAACGTTCCACCCGAAGACGTGTCGGTGTGGGCACCCTGTTCACAACGACACACCAACAACACAAACACAGCCAAGCACAAAGGCGTACGAATATAACAAACTACTGTGATTACTTGACATTTTAATAGATGCTACAAAAGCTGAAAC